TTTCAGTGTACAGGTCTTTCACTTCTTTGGTTAAATTTATTCCAAGGTATTTTATTCTTTTTGTTGCAATTGTAAATGGGATTGTATTCTTGATTTCTCTTTCTGCTACTTTGTTGTTAGTGTATAGAAAAGCAACTGATTTTCGTATACAGATTTTGTATCCTGCAACTTTACTGTCTTCATTTATTATTTCTAATAGTTTTTTGATGGATTCTTTAGGGTTTTCTATATATAAAATCATGTCATCTGCAAAACGTCTCAGTTTCACTTCTTCCTTTCCAATGTGGATCCCTTTTATTTATTTTTCTTGACTTATTCCTCTGGCTAGGACTTCCAATACTATGTTAAATAAGAGTAGTGAAAGTGGGCATCCTTGTCTAGTTCCTGTTCTTAAAGGGATAGCTTTCAGTTTTTCTCTGTTGAGTATGATATTAGCTGTGGGTTTGTCATATCTTTATTATGTTGAGAAACTTTCCTCCTATCCCCATTTTATTCAGAATTTTTACCATAAATGGATGCTATATCTTGTTGAATGCTTTCTCTTCATCTACTGAGATGATCATGTGGTTTTTATTCTTCATTTTGTTAATGTGGTGTACCACATTGATTTATTTGTGGATTTTGAACCACAATGATGAAAACATTAAAAAATGATGTCTCAAGCTAGTGACATTCCATCTAAATCTCACATTAGTGGCCATTTACATCACCCTCTACCATTAAAAGTACCCACTTACTTTTCTGCTTCTGTCAACATGAAGTAGACATACTTCATAACGTATTCTTCCTGCTAAGTAGAACTAAAAACCCTGCTCATTATATATAAAATAAAAATAAGAAGCTTCTGAAAGGTAGAGAGAAGAAGGCAAATGGACTATGGACCTCAGGACCCAAGGAGTAACATGGTGATGAGTTCCCTGGGTTTTATTTTGCCTCATATACCCAGAGTAGATACTGGAGAAGACAGCAACCTGGAAATGCCAATAGGTGCAGACAAAAAAATTTCCAAGAAAAGTCTGCTCTCTAGCCAAAGAACTAGGAAAAGGGCAGCCTAGCAAAGTAGAAAACTTTTAGATAGTAACTACTTTATTAAGGTAAAACACCACGAATAAACTATGATCCCCTGCCACTGACCCCCCCACCCACCCACCCAACACACACACACCAGCAAAGGCTGTGTGGAAAGCCTAAACTTCCACCATTGCTAAGTTATAACAAGGTGCCCTAATCCTCCTGCTGGGGTTGTGTCAGAAAAGGCTAATTAGGGAACCAGGACTTTTCATCCCCATTGGGTAGTAAAAACCACACCCAGTGGTGTCGCCGGAGCCAATTTGGGGAGCCTGGACTTCTAACCCCTTCTAGTGGTAGCAACTCATCCTTCCCCTTCTCACTGAGAGAATGTCAGAGGAGGCCTACTTGAGAGTCAGGACATGCACCACCATTCAGTAGAGACAAGGCCACATCTACATGGTATCAGTGGAGGCCACATGGGGAAGAGTAAGGAGGTGCCCCTGCCCCTCCCAGCCAGGGGGTTAAAAGCAGAGGCCCAGTGGGCAGGCGGAACTCCCTCTCCTGGCCAGCAGTAACAAGAAGCTTTTTCTCCCTCCAGGAGTGGCAATGGACACTGAGTGGAGAATCTGAGTTTCTAACCACCACCTGGAAATAACAATGATCACGAGTCTTAAAACATAATACCCAACACATTCAGATTTCAATAGAAAATCAATTATCAAACCAAGAACTAGGAAGATTTCAAACTTAATAAGAAATAACAATGGACATGTGCCAGTACTAAGAAAATCACAGAAGTCAGAATTATCTGACAAGCATTTTAAAGCAGTTATCATAAAAATGCTTCAATGAGAAATTACGAACTTGCCTAAAACAAATGAAAAAATAGAAAGTATCAGCAAAGAATAAAAGATACAAAGAACAAAATGGAAAGTATATAATAATCAAAATGAAAAATTTAATGGCTGGGCTCAGTAGCAGAATGGAGGGGAAAGAAGAAAGAATCAGTGAATGGAAGATAGAACACTAGAAATTACTCAATCTGAAAAATAGAAAATAGACTGGAAAAAGGAGTAAACAGAGCCTCAGGGACCTGTGGGACTATAGCCAAAATCTATCATTTGTGTCATCAGAGTTCTGGAAGGAGAGAAGAAAGAGGGCCAAGATGGAAAAGTATTCAAAAAAAATAAGAGCTGAAAATTCCTCAAATTTGGCAGAAGACATAAACCTACAGAATCAAGAAGCTGAGGATATTCCAAATAGGGTAAATCCAAAGAAATTCATGCCAAAAGACAGTAAAACTTCCAAAAACCAAAGACGTAGGAAATCCTGAAAGCAGCAAGAAACAAAAACCTTATCCATATGGAGAAAATTTGAATGACTGAATTTCTCCTCAGAAAGAAGCATTTTTCAAGTTTAGAAAGGACTGTCAACCCAGAATTCTATATCCAGCATAAATGTCCTTCAGGAATGGAGGGGAAATCAAAACATTCTCAGATGAAAAAAACTAAAAGACTTTGTCATCAGCAGACCTATCCTAAAAGAATGCATTTAGAAGTTTTCTTTTCTTTTTTTTTTAAAGATTGGTCCTGAGCTAACATCTGTTGCCAATCTTCTTTTTTTCTTCTTCTTCTTCTCCCCAAAGACCCCAAGTATATAGTTGTATATTCTAGTTGTAGGTCCTTCAAGTTCTACTATGTGGAATGCTGCCTCAGCATGGCTTGATGAGGAGTACACCCAGGATCTGAACTGGTGAAACCCTGGGACATTGAAGTGGAATGCATGAACTCAGCCAATTGGCTATGGGGCTGGCCCCAGAAGTTTTCTAAAGAGAAAGCAAATGATAAAAGAAGGAATCTTAGAACATCTGGAAGGAAGAAAGAATATAGTAGAGCGAAAACATGGGTAAATACAGTAGACAAATGGAGAGGTCATAGCTAAAGTGTATGAGGTTTCTTTACAAGGTGATGAAAATTTCTAAAATTGACTGTGGTGATGGTTACAAATTATGTGTGACTATAATAAAAACCATTGAATTATACACTTTAAATGGGTGAATTGTACAGTATGTGATTTATATCTCAATAAAGCTGTCTTAAAAAATCAGAGGTAGCCCAGGACCAGCCTGGGTACTTAGTGGTTAAGTTTGCACACTCTACTTCAGTGGCCCAAGGTTTGCAGGTTTGGATCTCTGACCTACACACTGCTCATCAAGCCATGCTATGGTGTTGCCCACATACAAAACATAGAGGAAGATTGACACAGATGTTAGCTCAGGGTCAATCTTCCTCACCAAAATAAAGAATCAGTGTTAGCCTGAGGAAAGTGGTACAAGAGAACTTTCCGGGCATCATGGGAAAGTTTTATATCGTGGTCTAGGTGATGGTAACATGGGTGTAAGTCAAAACATACATTAGGCAAAATTAATCAAGCTAAATCCTTACGATCTATGTACTTACTCTTATGACAATTATACTTCAATAAAGTCTATTAGCATAAAAAAATTACGAGGTAATCTCAAATTCCATTCCAAAATGCTTTTACCAATTTATACTCATACCAATGGTATATTAGAATTCCAGTGTTCCACATCTTACCAATTGTAATACTGATAATCCAATGGGCTAAATATGGGACCTCATTCTGGTTTTAATTATCAATCCATTAATGAGGTTAGTCATGTTTGCCATTGCTTTTTGGGATATTCATATTTCAAAAAATAAGACTTTTCATACTATTTACTCAATGTTCTATTGGCTTGTTTGACATTTTCTTATCTCTTAGTCACTTATGTGTGTTACAAATATCTTCTCTCAAAATGAATCCTGTTTTATATATTGTTATGGTGCATTTCAACAACCTAGAAATTTATGATATAGTCAAAAGTAATATTTAATCATGCAGTGTGTGTGTGGGTAGGTGTGTGTGTCTTTTAAAAGAAATATCTCTCTGACACAAATGGTTAATTTTGTCATTTATATTGTCTTCAGTCCTCCTGGAAGTGTGTGTATGTGTGTGTTATGAGGTATGAATGCAGTTGTATTTCAAAATTTTCTTTATTTTTCCATATGGCTAACAGATTTTTTTGTATCACATATGATGGGTTATTGCTGGATTCTTTTTTTTCTTTAACAATTTTTTTTCCATTTCAATGTCATTTATATTCTGTCTTACTACTTATGGTTTTACAATAAATCTTGATATCTAGAAGGGCAAAAAAACCCCACACTTATTTTGATTACTAGTAAAATATAAGAGAAAATCATAGTGTTTCTTAAAGAGAATGTTTTGTAAAGGTGAGGTTTTTTTATCTTCAACTTCCTCAGATACTTTGTAATTGTGTCAAATTTAGTCACAAGCAAGTTAAAAACTTGCATCTTTTATTTTACAAATTAATTTCTTAAGGGTGAAAATTAGTTATTTGCCCTTAATGACATATTCTTTTCCATTTTTGTTCTCCATTTTGTGAACAATAATGATCACAGAAGTCTACCAGTGGTGGTACAAATTTAGTCTCACTTTCAATTTTGCACATCACTTTTTTTTTTAATTTGACTCTTGGTAATGGCAAGTATGAAGTCAGAGAGGTTTAGAATACTAATGACTTCCATTGATTTTTTACTCTATTTTGAGGAGTCTCTGATGTCTACTTAGGAATTGTCATCTTTTTGACTTGAGAGCCTCTGTTTTCTAGCCATTAATTTGGTGCCAAGCTGTGGGTGGAATGAGACCTGGAAGAATTCTAGGCCAGATTTAAATAGGACTGAGTGCTTGCTCTGTTTGAATACATTCACGTATTTGAACACCTTTGAATGAGGGAGTTACCTCTAATTATGTATTAATGATTTGGACTTATCTACTGCTTTTTATAGTTCTTTTTTGTCCTCTTGCTGCTTTGAGAATTGAGAGTAAACTATGGAAATTATGAATGTAGTATAAGTTTAAGAAATGATCTCATAAACATTGAAATCCTGATGATTAAAGCTTACCTCTATTTCTTTCCTTAATCTTTCATGTGTCTCTTTTTCTTCCTCAAGAAAACAAGTTTCTTCAATGATAGACTCTTTTACAGTTATAATTTTATCCTTTAGCTTTGTAATGTCTTCCTGTATATTTATAAAATTCAAAATATACAAGTCAAACAATGAATGGTCAGTATAAATCCAAGATTTTCAGTGTTTCTATAATGTAAGAAAACTAGCCATCACATTTAATTTTGTTAAATAGGATTAGAATATCGCTTCCATATGTACAAAGGATAAAGAACTGTTATTCAGGTGAAAAACTTTAGATTTGAAAACTTAGAACTAAAAACCAAATGAAAATAAGACATAAAGGAAAGTGGTAGTTATAGTGGCAACTGCCCAGAAATAGTATAATGGGTATTTTTAATTCTCTTGTAAGAAATTATAGGTATTTTAAGTTTGTGTCTCCCACTGTCTTCAAAGAATAGTAAAAGAAATAGAAGATGCTTAAGGTGAAATTATTAATTCATAGTGTTTGCATAACAGCATTAAGCATACTAAATTGATTTGAATTGGTCTAGATCCATCAGTCTAGAAGCTGGGACTTCAACATTTTTGTGAGTTCTACTTTCTGCAACAAATGGATTAACTGTTCACTGTGATTTTATTTGTCTATATATTTTTATTAATCCACAGAGGATTTGGGACATTTCCTTTATGCTTTTTCACATTTGGCATAGTTGTTACATATTCATGTACTTATCCAAGTTTTTAAAAATTGTGAAAATACTTTCTGAATCTAGTTAATGCAGCTATGGGTTTTTTATTAAAGTAGTGATAAATTTATCACTTAAGAAGTGTACTTGCAAAAAAGGAGTGACAGAAAAAGTTTTGATAAGTGATATTTCAAACCTGTACTTGTTTCATCTGGTTTCCTTCTGGATTTTGGAGATCTTGCACAAGTTCCTCTTTCATTGCCTTTAGTTTTTTAACAAGATCTCGTTTTTCCTGGAGTTCACTCATAAATGACCATTTGCTTTCTATTTCCCCCAAACTATCTTTATGCACTTTTATTTTTGCATGATATTCATTATATCTTATCACTTGTTCCTCAAAATCTTCTTGGGCAGCTTCTATGTCAAATTTAAGCTTTACGTTTTCTGAATGTAAGGATTTGATTTGAGTTTCTAGGCTCCCACACTGAAGTTTGGTATTCTCTATGGCAGCATCTTGCTGATAAATTTGCCTCTCTGTTTCCTTAGTTTCTGCAGAGACAGATGCTATTTGTTTTTCAAGCTCATGAAGTTCATTCTGTAATATATTTCAACATTATTATTATTAATTCACGATATGCAGCATAAGAGAAAAGTCATTGTTTTGATCCACAGTGCATGTAGGAAAATCACTTAACATAAAAAATATGTATTTATCAGATATAGAAAAATTGATGAATAGAAAGAAATGTGCAATAAAGTAAAAAAATTATTTTATAATCTCAGAGGGAGCCCAAAGTTATATATTTCTTATTTTTTAAAGTTCATCTAATTCTAAATATTACAATTTTATCATTTGTCTTAACGTTTTATATATAAAAGATACTTTACAATCATTTTAATAATGTATTTATGGGCATTGGAAGTACACACTGAAGAAAGACAATATGATAAAAATGATAAAGCCTTGGGTTAAAAAATCAAAAGATCTGGATTCTACTGCCCTTACTGCTATTTACTAGTTGGTATGATCATACATAGCAAGCTTAATTACCCTATCCAAACCTCACTTTCTTCACTTGTAAAATGAGTATAAAGGCATCTATTTTACCTCTCTGTGACATTTGGCATTTCTAACCAACACCTCCTCTTTGAAGTTTTCACACCACCACTCTTCTCTGGTTCTCCTCAGATATCTATGAGCATCCCTTCTCAATGTCAATGGTTCCTTCAAATATAGGTCTTCCTCAGGGTGCAGTCATCATAACTTCCTCTTTTCATTCTATATATAATCCTGGGGTAATCTTATCCTTACTTAAATCTTGAGCTATGTATATGATGATGATTCACAGATCACAAGTGGCTGTTGAGTCCTACACTCAGCTGCCACTGGCCATCTGAATCATCATGTCCAAAAATCAGACTAATCCCCCTCACCATCCCATCCTGTTCTTCCTTGTATCAGTTATCTATTGTCAGAACCACAAAATTTCAGTGACATACAACAATAATTGCTTATTGCTCACATGACTGGGAGCAGCTGGGATTGGCTAGATGTTGACGTTGGTTGGATTTGCTCAAATGTCTGGGGGTTGGCTGGCTGGAAGATGATTGGCTGACTGGGCTGGCTGGGGTGTCTTGGCTTTGCTTTACATGTGTCTTATCCTCCAGTGGGCCAGGCCAGACAGGTCCCTCTTATGATGATAGCAGATGCAGAAGAATGGAAGCTCAACTATGTAAGAGCTTTTTCAAGCCTCTGTTTGAATGACATCTGCTGACATCCAGCTGGTCATATGATGAAACACACAGTCGAGGGGGTAAAAGTATGCTTACTCACTATGGAAGGACACTGTAATGATACATGGCAAAGGGTGTAGATATATACAAGGAGGAAGAATCTGGACCAAAAATGCAAATTACCACACCCCTATTTTCCCAAACTAATTAACTAATGATACTACTTGGGAGCCATCCTTAATTCCTCCCTTCTCTTTATTATCTATATCTAACTGTTCATCAAGTTCTATAGATCCTCCCACCAAAACAACTCTGTAGGCCATCCTCCATCCTTTTTTTTCCCTATCTAGTAGGTTATCCTTTAAAGAAATTTATAATTTTGAGAGGGAGGCGCTGCACTAAAAAGGCAGACCCAACCTGTCTTTTCCTGGCAGAGACAAGATAGGGAAGCACCATGAAAAATACAAGATGCTGATATCTCCAGCTCTTATATCTCAATGCCCGCTTGACATTTGTATTTAGATATTTAACAGACATCTCAACTATACATGTTCAGAAAAGAACATTTATTTTACATACCCAGCATATTTCTCCTCCAGTCTTCCTCATTTCAATAAACTGTACCACTTTGCACCTGGATACTCAAAAACCTAGAAGCTATTCTTGATTCCTCCCTTTACCTTAGCCCCCACAACCTATTGACTAGCAAATCCTGATGGTTGGGCCTCCGAAATAAAATCCTCAATTCACTTCTGACCAATCTTTGTAGCGTGGTCTAGCTCCTACCTGGTCTCCCTCTCTCCATTCTTCCTCCTTTCCCCCAACTAGGCTCCATATATTAAGCAGAAGAATCTTTAAAAAACATAAATCATATCCTGTTACTTCCCTGCTCAAGATCCTCCAATGGCTTCTCATTGCACTGATAATACAATTAAAATTCCTTACTGTGGCTTGCACGGCCTTATGTGCTCTAGTCCCTCTCTACTGTGCCATCCTTCTCATGTGCTACTCTCCCCTCTTCCAGCCTCCTTCTATAACAAAACACCAAAGGCTGGGTGGCTTAAACAACAGACATTTATTTTTCACAGTACTGAAAACTAGGAAGCCCAAGATTAAGTTATGAGCAGATTTTGCTCCTGGTGATGACCCTGTCCCTGGCTTGCAGACAGCTGCCTTCTTGCTGTGTCCTCATAAGACAGAGAAAGAGAGAGAGAGCTCTGGTCTCTCTTCCTCTTCTTATCAGGACACTAATCCCATCATAGGGGCCCCACCTTCATAACCTCATCTAATTACCTCCCAAGGGCCACACCTCCAAATGCCATCACACTGGAGGGAACACAAACATTCAGTCCATAACAGCATCTCTTTGAAATCAATTGATATGTGTGGGGCTATTTCTGGACACTCTATTCTGTTCCATGGATCTGTATGTCTTATCTTTATTCCATATCACACTATCCTGGTTACTGTACTCTATAATAAATCTTAAAATCAGGTAATATATGAACTTCCAACATTGTTCTCATTCTTCAAAATTGCTTTGGAGCCAGCCCTGATGGCTTAGAGGTTAAAGTTTGGCACTTTCACTGTTTCAGTGGCCCAGGTTCATTTCCTGGCCATGCAACCACACCACCTGTCTGTGGGTAGCCAGGCTGTGGCAGCAGCTCACATAGAAGAACTAGAAGGACTTATAAGTAGGATATACAATTATGCACTGGGGCTTAGGGAGGGGGAAAAAAAAGAGGAAGATTGGCAACAGATATTAGCTCAGGGACAATCTTGACCTCCAAAAGGGGAAAAAACATGGTTTTGGCTACTCTAGGTCCTTTCCATTTCCATATGACTTTTAGAATCAGCCTGTCAATTGCTCTAAAAAGTGCCTGCTGAGATTTTGATTGAAACTGCTTTTACACTATAGATAAAATTGAAAGGACTGACATGTTAACAATACTGAATCTTCTGATTCATGAAAATGGTATATTTCTCTATTTATTTAGATCTGTAATTTCTCTTAGCCATGTTTTTCTGTCTTCAGCATACAGGTCTTACAAACCGTCTTAGTCTACTTGGGTTGCCATAACAATATACCGTAGACTCAGCGGCTTAAACAATAGAAATTTATTTCTCACAGTTCTGAAGGCTGGAAAGGGTGTCAGCATGGTTGGATTCTGGTGAGAGCTCTCTTCCTGGCTTGCAGACAGCTGTCTTCTCACTGTGTCCTCACATGGCAGAGACAGCCAGTAAGCCCTGGTGCCTCTTCTCTTTTTATATCACAAAGGCCTCACTCTCATGACCTCATCTAAGCCTAATTAATTTCCAAAGTCCCATCTCCAAATACAAATTAAATTTTAATTTCTGACTGTTTCTTTCAATGTATAGAAACACAGTTGATTTTCATATATTAGTCTTGTCTCCTTCAACATTTCTAAACTCACTTATTAGTCCTAGTAGTTTATTTTTTTTATAGATTCCTTAGGATTTTCTAAAGATAATCATGCCATATGTAAATAAAAACAGTTCTACTTCCTCCTTTCCAATCTGGATGCCTTCTATTTATTTTTCTTGCCTGATTGCACTGGCTTGAACTACCAGTACCACAGAATGAACAGAAGTGGTAAGGGCACACATCCTCGCCTGGTTCCTGATCTTAGGAGAGAAATATTCGTCTTTTACCATGAGATATGAAGTTGGCTGTAGGATTCATGTAGGGATGTAGATGCCCTTTTTAGATTGAGGAAGTTCTGTTCTATTCCTACTCTGCTGAGAATTTTTATCATGAATGGATGTTGGATTATGACAAGTGTTTTTTATGCATCTGGAATTCTCTTTCTAAAACATAAATTTAATCTTTTGCTCCCTTGCTTAAAGCTCATCAAAACCTTCCCATCACCTTTAGAATAAAGTCTGGATTTCTTATCATGGTATATATCTCCCACCACTTCTCAAAACACACTCTAGACTATACCACCACCAAACTACATATAGTTCTATGAATGTATCAATGCGATTCCAAGACTTTGTGAATTTTCTCAGGTTCTTCTTTTTGGAATATCATCCTCCTCACCCTCTAACCCTTAAACCTGTCCCAGATACCATTCAAGTGAACTCCAGCTATCCTTTAAAACTCAACTGAAACATCACTTTCTTTTGATCACTTCTTCCGGGTTAAATCTGTGTTCATGCCTCTATTGACACTACTCCCTGCATGTAATTATTTATTTACTTCTTTGTCTCCCTCTTCAATAGATGGTGAGAAACTTAAGAGCAAGGACAATGTTTAGCAAAATGCTTAATAGAACATAAGCCCTCAATATAAGTGAAATAACATCTGTGAAACTCTTTGAAGACTGAGAAGTTTTACAGAAAATATCTAAACCTAATGTCAAAATCCAGCCCTATACTGTCCACCAGAGCCCGAGCAAGAATATCCTACATATATTTATAAGTATTAATTCATTTAATCCTCATGAAAATCTTAGAAGTAGGTCCTATTGTTATCTCCATTTTACAAATATGAAAACAGAAGCACAGAGAAATTAAACCACTGAGCGACAAGTAGCAAATCTTATTTTTCAAACTAGGCAGCTGGGCTCTAGAGCCTATTCTTTTCATTTCTATGATATATTTCATTAAGAAAAACCTTTACAAAGCACATAGTAAAGATACTATTTCCATTTTTCTTCTTCTTCTTCTTCTTCTTCTTCTTTTTTTTTTGCTGAGGAAGATTCACCCTGAGTTAACTTCCAATGCCAATCCTCCTTTTTTTTTGGTCAAGGAAGATTACCCCTGGCTAACATCCCTGCCAATCTTCCTCTATTTTTCTTTTTGTATGTGAGACACCGCCACAGCATGGCTGGTGAGTGGAGTAGATCTGTTCCTGGGATCCAAACCCATGAACCCAGGCTACCAAAGCAGAGTGCATGGAACTTTAACCCCTTGGCCATGCGGCTGGGACCTCCATATTACTTCTTTAGCTATATTAACAGAGCACAGTTATATCTAATTATGCTGCATGCAAAAACCAATTACAGCTTCCAGATTACCTGTAGTGGAATTATGAATATATTATGAAATATAAGGGACACAGAAATGTTCTCTGTCTACTTGAAATGTTCACTCACTAGTTCACAACTAGTAACTCACAAGCCATAGCTTTAAAAACACTGGCTTAAAAACTTAACCTTCCTTCAATTCAGCATTTTAGGAAGAACTATCAAATAGAAGTAAATTTAAAATAATTTTGTGTGACACATTGGGTTTTATATGCTCATAGTACAGTTGCAATGACACTGCCGAATCTTTGCATACTGGGTGTGTAAAATGTTCCATGAAACTCAAATGCTCATATAGACTTCACTTAGTGATAAAAGAATAATTAAGAAGGAGTAAGTGTGAAACAGAAGTGTTTAAAATTGCCTCCCCAAATTAAGTATCCTTAAAAACTTCTCTGTTACTAACTTAAAATAGTTTTGAAGAAAGTAAAGACTCATTTAAAAGACTGTATGAAATAGGTTACCTGCAAATGGAATAAAACTTTTTTATTTTTCTCTATTTCTGATGTTTGTGATTGTTGTTGCTTTGCCACTTGCTCTACAGCATCAGTTAATGAAGATGTGTCCTGTTTAGCCACAGCTAGACAAAAGAATATAGCACATAAAAATTTAAATGCAGACATTCTAAGAAAGTTATGCTTCTTTACTCAAAATCATGAAAAATTTGATATTTTCTCATAAATAAACGACATTTAGGATTGGTAATCTTCCCTTTATGACTATAAACAAAACCAAAATCAAAGGCAATAATAATAGACAATTGAAAATAGCCTACTGCAGTGTTATATTTATTCCTTTATGGAACAACATAAATATTTTGATTGTCCTATTTTTTTTTATCCAGACCACTTGCATAAATACTATAATTATAGTGCTGCCATAACAACTTTATAGCAATTACAGTTAATGAATTTTCATTATAGGCCTGCATTCTCAGGTTGTTATGCCTTTTCTAAAAACTGTATATGTTTCTTCCTGGCAAAATTTAACAGCTTCCCTCTATTCTAATTTGCTATCAATTTTAACACAATCATCCTATCATAGTACTTTGTTGTCCCTTATCTTTTAATTATGTATTTCTTAAGAATCCTTCATTACCTTCTTCAGGAACTCCTTGACTCTTCCTTTCTATGTTGCCTGACATTCTTGTGTGCCTCTTTTCCCCTTTCTGGTTCACCTTCTTTACTCCTACAAAATAATCATCGTTGATAATCTTTCATTTTTCTTTATTTTTTTCCTTTCATATATTGGTGATTCTAAAAGTAAATTAATTGTCAAATACCTCCCAGGGATGGCAATGACATTTCATCATTTGTTCTAAGAGTTAAATACAATGGTTAAGTGAGAGATTTTTGGAGGAAAGTAGAACTGTATCTGAATCTTGGTTCTCCTGCTTTTCAACTGTTATGAGCTTGAGCAAGTTTCTTAACTTCTCTGATCATCAGTGTCCCCACCGGTAAAACCTCACAGGGCTTTTGTAATAATTAAAGTAATATATGTAACAAGCTTAACACGGTACCTGACATATATAGTGAGTAATTAATTATTATGGATTAGTAGTCGGTACCTCCAGTACGATGATGAAATGGGTTCTGAAACTGTAACCAGAATCAGTGAGAAACAGTGCCAAGGTGGATTAACAATTTCTGCCGCGGGTCTAGGATATAGGGAATGTAGCACTCCTGTCCAGTGCTATTCTGGCTGGGGTACTCCCTGTGCAAGTTTAAAACCTTATTTCAATCTTTTCTATATCTAGGAGTAACTGATAAGATGAATGGGTAGATATTTTTCTTCTTTGAACGAAGGAGAGAAAGAGTTCCTTCCCTCTACCAACACAGCAAATGCTGAGTTGGCAGAGTAAAGGCATTACCAGCTTTTGGGAAAAGGGTATCTGAATTTGCCTGTCCATTCCTACATAAATGAAATTGTACAAGTTTGCATGATTAAAAAATTTACTGTTGTTAAATACTTCTGAAATTGTCATCACCTATTTAACATTTGAACATATGGATTTTTTATATTTAGATGACATCTGTTTTAAAAAAATCTTAGTTGATTTTTATAGAACCTGTGAATCTTTCCAATCATACTAAAGTCATGTCATGACAAACTTTGCAAGCCAAAAGAAGTGAAATATTATCATAACAGTAAGGCACATGTAAGGAAGCTTTCACAAGGAAATCTGCAGGATCACTAAGTATCTTTCCTAAAGATAAGTTACATTCAAAGTTTTGTATACAAGTTAGATGTGTTTTCCAAAAACAAAATTTTAAAGGATTGAAACTTGATATATAAGCAAAAAGGAAAGAACAACAAAGTTGAATTGCTTCCTAAATCAGGAGACTCAAATCTACCCAGAAATATCTTATCAAGCTAAAGAAATCCTGAGAGCTTAACTCAGCAGAGGGTCATAATAACCCCTGAGAATTTACAATTCTTCTCTGTTTCTTCACTCCCTTCAAATCCCATTTCAAACTTGCCTCTTTTATGATGTCTTCCTTGAAACTGAGTCCATTTCCTCTTCATGCTATTAACCTATGTCCTTTCTGCTTAACATGCGGACTGCCCCAGATTAATGCTAATATAGCCAAATCTGATTTTCTCTCTAGCTCTTTTGCATGGGTTTCACGATCACAGACTTCACCCTTAATTCTCTCTATCTATCTACCTTGAAAAGTGCAGGCCCTTTACGTTTATACTTCCAGTTAGTTCTCTCAATTAATTACAATAGTAAACATATAGTGCTTACTTTGTGCCAGACATTGTTCTAAGTGCTTTACATAAAAAATAACAACAAAAACAAACATTATATAGTGATTATTCTGTGCCATGTATAAGAACTTTACAAATATTAACTCATTGAACCTTATGAGGTAGATACTATTATTATAATTTTCATTTTACAGAGAAATACAGTGAGCTCAAAGAGATCAAAAAATTTACCCAAACTAAGACACCTATTAGTGTGAGATTTGATTTGAATTCAGGTGGTTTGGCTCCAGGGTTCACGTTCTTAACCAGTAGGCTAGACTACCAAGATTATAATTTTTTAAAGAGGAGAGCCATGTCTTTATATACCACTCCAGAATCCAACTACTTTTGTATTCCTGTATTGCTAAAATACCACTTTAGTCAACTCTCTCCTTTCCATTCCCACGGCTACCCACATTTCTTCTTAGGGGAACTATTTCAGTAAAGTCCACTGATGGAACTGCTAGAGTTTCTACAGACCTCCAGTGGCCTCAACACCACAATTTGCACTATCAAGAGGAGATTCTGAGTTCTTCATGCTCCTGGGAAGTTCCTTCTAGGTAAGTTACCTTTCTGGTGAGTCCTCCTGTTTCTCTCTCCCCCAAATCATAGTGTCATCTCCACAAACTGCCTAAGACACTCACTGTGTACTATTCCCATTTTACCCTACATCCCTGTTAACCTCAATCTCCAGGAGAAGACTGAGACTCCCAGATCATTCCTCATCTTGAAGACCCAAGACTCATGCTTGGTAAGTCCCCTGATTTGATAGTTACCCACTCTCCAGCTCTTTTATATCCTTCCATTGTGACCCCTGAAACTCTTGGTCCATCTTCAGCAAAATCCTCTCTATTTTCAGTCTCTTCAGTGAACTTTCCCTTCATCTTTTGCTCGAACCGAAATCCTCCAAAGATACTGCTTCCTCATTCTCAAGCCACTAAGTCTGGACGTGAGGCATTTTTCCTGCTTTCCATTACCATGTGCCTGGCACATAATAGGGACCTAATTGTAGTCAATCTCCACTCTAATTCACCCTGTCCACTGACAGAATAATGCTTGCAAAATACTGTTCTGATCATGTCAACATCACAGCCAACTTTCAACTCCATCTTAGATGGCATCTCCTTTAAGAAGTTTTTCTTGATCTTTCTGGATAGATATGATCTCTCTCGCTCTTTAGTGCAATTTCTTCTATATCCCTATTATACCATGATAGATATCAGTATAGGTTCTAGAGTAAGACAGAGCTAGTTTAGAGTCCAGGTTGTGCCACTTTCTAGTTTATTAGATAAATTCTTTCCAACTCAGGCCTCACATTCTTTATCTGTAAAATGAGAACAAGAGTAGTACCTGCCTCATTAGGATTATTGTGAAGACTAAAAGGAATAATGCATTTAAAGCATTCAGCAAACTCCTGCCACTCAACAAATTTTTACTCTTATTCCCATTCTTTTATATGATATTTCCCCATTAGACTGAATGTGTATTGTTTTCACACCATTGTAAAGTCAAAAAGTCCTAAGTCGAACCATGGTTGAGTTGGGGACCGTTTGTACAGGCAAGGCATTGTGGGGACTAGAAAGATGAATTAAGTGACTCTGACTCCAAAACAAAAAGCTTCATGAAGGCAAATACAGTGTCTTACTTATTTTCGTATTCCCTAAAGAATCTGTTGAAGAAACCTAAAAAATGAAAAAAATTAAACTTATAGAATAAAAAAACAAAGTGACTGGTACCTCTTGATCTCGATTTCTGAAGCAACATAAATTGAAGAACTCTTAGATGATATTTATTTAAACCAACTATTCATGAAAGGATATCTGCTTTAAAATTGGGAAAGTTTTGGGTTCTTCTCTGTCTGGATCTCTGCTGTAGAATGGACATAAAATAAAAATGAAAACAAGCTACTGCCATCTACTGATAATTCATTACAATTGCACAAGTCAATGAAAACAAGAGTTTAGAGACTAGACAATATCAATTACTCTTTCATTCAAACCACAAATGTGGGTACATGTTTCAGATCTTTCTAGATTCATGATGGGGTTATGTCTAATAAACCTATCATAAGCGGAAAATACCTAAGTTGAAACTGCATGAAATACACTTCAACTACTGAACATCATAGCTTAGCCTAGCCTACCTTAAACATGATCAGAACGCTTACATTAGGCCACATTGGGCAAAATCATCTAACGCAAAGCCTCTTTTATAGTAAAGTGTTGAATATCTCATGTAATCTATTGAATACTGTACTGAAAGTGAAAACCAGAATGGTCGTATGGGTACAGATGGTTGTCAGTGTATTGGTTGTGTACCCTGGTGATGGTAGGGTTGACTGGGAGCTGTGGCTTGCTGCCTCTGCCCAGCATCATGAGAGAGTATCGTACAGCACATTGCTAGCCTGGAAAAGATCAAAATTCAAAAACTGAAGTATGGTTTCTAATGAATATGTATTCTTCTCACACCATTGCAAAGTCAAAGAGTCCTAAGTCAACACCATGGTTAAGATGGGGACTGTCTGTGTATGCAAGGCATTGTGGGGACTAGAAAGATGAATTAAGTGACTCTGATTCAAAAAAAAACCACCAATCTTACAATACCTACAGTATTTGGTAGCAAATGTCCAAACTCATATATAAAACACAATCATTTAGGAACGATACTTTCAACTCCAAAAAAGCTTTATAGAAAACGATGCAATGGAAATACTATAATAAACTACCATTCTTCTGTAATAACTATAGTCAACATTTGTTGAATATTTACAAATAACTGGCACTGTTCTAAGTGCTTTTACATGGATTATGTTTATTGTCTCTCAAAGTAATCCTACAAGCTAGATATTATTTTACCTATATTTTATAAATTAGCAAACTAAGACTTGGAGAAATTAGAAAATTTGCCAAGGGTCACACATCCAACAAGTAGCAAGGATGGAATTTGAAGCAATTAGGATCCAAATTAACATTTATTAGGCACTTCTATGTAGTAAAGCACTGTGATAAGCCTGATTTGTGCACTATCTCATCTGAATTCAAGAGGCAAGCTTCTGTATTCGACCCTTGGGAGGAGGTTTTAAAAGGGCCATGGTTCAAGCTTTTGGAAACTCATCATCTGGTACCTCCCTCACAGCTAATGAGCAAAATAAAGCAAGGCTGTCAAACTCCACTGGGGCTTTTGAGAGCTTTTGGCTTAGAAGAATTAAGAGGAGGCAATTGTATATGTTCACCCGTGTCACATAAGTACCCTTTTTCATTCTGAATGGAAAGAGCTGCTGTGTGTGGACCTGCTAGGTGGTCAAAGTAGTTAAGTTTATACTTTCATTTTACCCTCTTTAAAATAGATATTTTATCAGAAAACAAGGAAAGAAAAATTATGTACATACTTCTCACATAAAGGTGAAATTGTTTTTGCTTTTTAAGTGGGAGAGGGAGTTTAAAACTGATGTTCGACTGAGGAAGCTAAAAAATTAACCTGAGAGAAGATGAGATAAAAGGATTTCCTGGAATCAAGCAAATTTTGAATTATGGTCTATATTTGTCATTAACATGATGGAATCAGATCTGGGTGGTTCAATTCCAACAAATAAAATAAAGATAATAATGGGAAAAATATGACATACTGCACAAATGAGTAAGAATCAATAATACATACTTCAGGTAAAAAAGACTATAAGTCTTTTCAACCACATGTTTTCCAGAGAAGTTATAACATCATCAGAGTCATCCAAAAGGATTTAATTAATTGAATCATTAAAAATTTATTTCATACCTACTATATATCAGTGTCTTAGGATCTGCTAAGACTAGGGATTATTCTCTTCTCTGACTAAGCAACAAGATTAAAGTTTCAGGATACTGAAAACAGAAAGAAGCCAGAGGATTTGTACTGTTCCTTTACTTCCTATCAAAGACAACATAGGCAACATTCATGCATTACTCACCTTGCTTCTAGCTTTCTACCAAAGGTGGGATTTCTCTGAATGTACCAATAGTACTGGACTACCAAAATATCTCATTTTGGGGTGCAGACATACAAAGATTGGTCTAAAGCTCAAATCCAAGCTTTAAGGGATGCCTAGGCAACTGTTTCAAACAGAAATGATAGGCCTTCTGCAAAGTCTATTTATCACCTACCTGCTTATCTCACTCAGGAAAGCAAACGGCAAGGTCTTTTTTTGCTCTATATACAAGTAAGTATGATTTCTAAACCAAGAGGAGCTTGTAGTGGGTTGAATGACAGCCCCTGCCAAAATACATCCATATAATAACCCCAGAATCTGTGAATGTGATCTTATTTGGAAACATGGTTTTTGAGGATATAATTAAGAATCTCCAGATGAGATCATCCTGCATTTAGGGTGTGCCACGTGAGAGACTGAATATGCAAAAAACAGTGGCCAGATCATATACAAATATAGAACTCTGACCTACAACCTGCAGCAACCAACCCAGGAAATCAACTTGTTATCTACAGTAATCAGTGCAGGAAACCATCCTGCTATCTGTAAATTAGACTTGTAGGACATCAGACCACTATTGCTAATAACAGTTCAGGAAACCAAACCATAACTCCTGTAACAATTGGCCCCAAACGTCCAGTGCTTGATTGATAACTGACAGTGTCCCTAATTTTTGTCTCCACTTCCAACTTGCGACCAACCAGAGAAGCCAAATATTCATCTTTAATGAATTGCACAGGATGCCCTGCTTGTAATTAGCCCACCTACAGCTTCCCCACGCCAATAGCCTCTAATCAGGGTACACCTGAAGACTTCCCTTTTTCCACTATAAAGCTTTCCCACTCCTCTGCCTGCCTTCAAGTCTCTGCCAAAATAAAAGTGATGGTGGCTGACTCCCTTGCTATAACAAGCTCTGAATAAATCACCTTTGCTTGTTCTCATATGGTTGGCCTTTCCTTATTTCCACACAGGTATCTTTATATCAGACAGGTAGAGGGACATTTGAGATAGAGACATACACTAAGAGACTGTATGAGGTTGGAAACACACAGTCTCACGTGAAGAAACACTTGGAGCCACTCAAAGTTGGAAGAGGCAAGGAAAACGAGATGCTTTGAAGGGAGCATGGTCCTGACAACACCTTGATTTGAGACTTCTACCTCAGTAACTGTGAGAGAATACATTCTTCTTGTTTTAAGCCATCTAGTTTGTGGTAATTTGTTATGGCAGCCTTAGGAAACTAACGCAAGCTTTTAACAAGGAAATTTACATGTTATATGGCCTTTTCTGGAAGGACCAATAAACCTGAGTGTAAATGGCCTAAAAACAACTGTTCACAGTTTTTAAAAGTTCTACTTATTCTCATGAGAAGAAAGATTTACATGGTGATGTAAGAAAGGGCATTTCTCCAATGGTTTCCTTTAATAGCCAGGCACTATCTTTGCCCTCAAAATGCTCTAAGTCCCTATGAGGGAGACAGACACATAGTCAAATAATGAAAATGTAGAGGTACAGTAGATGCTCTCTTAGTCTACCTACACTTGACCTCTAACCAATTAACTCATTCTGTTTCCCTTGTAAATCATAATCTGCTAATTCCCCTATCACGCTGAATGCTCATGCTGAACGCTTGTGGTTAGGAAGCTACTCTCCAGTGAGTCTGCCCACTTCTCCTCCTATCAGTTGAATTGTACAATCTGACAATGAGTTACTTGTGTTTCTTCTGAAACCTGTTTTTGCCAGTTGTACTTGTTATTCTGCTTTCATAATTAATTCAATATTATGTAAACCAATGAAATAGTGTGGAAATAAAGTTTGTTGTTTCTTTAAAATCTGTTTAATATTTTGGAAAGACCCAATAAAGGTAAGTTGTTTGAATGTGTGAGATAACTATAAAAGATTATTAAGAAGAAATCTGCACTCAGCTTCGCAAGTGCCTGTAAGTTACCTTCCTCTTAAAGGAACGAAATCTTGGGAAATCTTAGCTAATGGTCTCGAGGTAGAGTTTATGCAAGAGATGCAACGCAGAACTCTCGGCAGCAGACCACATGCAAGGAAAAGGCCTTGGACTTTCTCAATAGATTGCCAAATGAGCATAGAATTGTTATACGTCAAAACAAAATGTTTAAGGTATTTATGTTATACTTTTTCATGACTTTGATTTCTTTTTAAAAGAGCTTTACATAGAGATAATTTATATACCATCAAGTTCATCCTTATAAAGTGTACAATTCAATGTTTAATTGACTTTTTCAATTTATTGCTTGGTTATGGGTCCAGACTGCATCTATGAGAGGGCTGCTTCTATACGAACAAAATGCTAAAGAAGCAATTAATTCTGCTTGGTGAAGGGATGGGGATTCAAGGAAGGTTATATTTGAGCTTGAAAGATCTTGAACAAGCAGCAGTTAAATAAGCATATAAAGAGAAGAGTCTTCTAAGTAGAAGGACTAGTGTATGTAAAGGATGAGACCATGTGGCCCAACCAAGGAACAGCCTTTAATTTGAGTGGCTTGGGAACAGAGTAGTTGTCTTTTCAAATCTGATTATGCATCTGAATCATCTGTAGAGATTAAAACAAAACAAAACAGCAAAGCCAAACATGCCCGGACTCGACTCCCAGAGATTCTGATTCAAATGCATATCTGGAGTGGGGTTCTTGGATCTCTTTTTTTTTAAGTTCTGCTTATAGTTCTGATGTGCAGACAGGATTGAGAACCACTGGAGTGGGGTGAATGGGGATGAGGTAAGAGAGCATTAGGAGAGGAGGCTAGATAGTTTAGGACCAGATGGTGAAAGGAAATGGTATGTAACTACAATGACAAATTCTCTCTTCCCTGACAGCTTCCCTATTTTGAAATATTTCTTTTTAAATTTTTTACTGCCACTACTGTTGCATGAAAGAAAATGAATTCCCACTACTGTCTATAAAAACAGAGATAAATGTTTTAAACCAGCTTTGTAACTAAAAGACCTCTCTTTTTCTTAAGGGAAAATTTAACATAAAACAAGCTCAGTGCAGAGAGTGCCCCTTCTGATCAGGTGTACCATCTACCACTCAAGGGCCTTAACAAATGGCCAGCAAAAATAATGCCAATGCAAATTTTGACAAAAACATCTGCAAGGGACACTGAACAGTGGGTTCCTATTCTGGGTTGGTGAGCCCGCTATTTAGTCAAACAGAACAGCAGCACTTGCCCACCTCCAACTGCTCTTCTGAATTCTCAGGTACCCGAGAGTCTCTCTTTCAGGTAAAGGTTCTTCAGTACTTATCATCTGAGCACAATCAAGATAAGAGGATGTCCCCTTCCATCATAACCAGTTCCACAGGAAGCACCCTTTCTCCTACTCTTTGAAGGCTGGATACACTTTCCCTTTACCATAGCATCTGCCTTCCACATAGTAGTTGTTCAATATCTTTAAATAAATGAACGTTGTACTCTTCGAGAACAGAGAAAGGATGCTAATTGGCACCTCTGTCACAATGCTAAGGGTTAGTGCCTTCTGCTGGTGGCACATATTTTTAAAAGGGCACACAAGACGTCTGTTTGTCCCGTACAAGTGAAGGAGCTGTAAAGAGTGTTGGTCCAGTCAGCAAGTAAGGCAGAATCAGCAAAAAGGCAAAGGGAGGTTCAACCGACTTGTTTCTGGGAACGCACAAACAGGTTAACCCTCCTCCCCCCGCCAAGGAGGCCCATTACTTGAACTTTGGATGGACAAACTGCCAAGCGCTGAGGGAAGGAGGTCCTCAGGCCTGGGCTCTGGTGAGTAAACCAGGTTCCCGACCACACTGGGGGGCAGCGATCCGTCCCGAGCGGCTGCAGAGGGGCCTGGGGCAAAGGGCCTCCGCTCGCAGAAGAGCCTGCTTCCTTCCCGAGGTCGCTCCCCGCGCGCAGACCCGCCTGGCTCGGAGGCCCCGTCCGCAGCCCGGGTTCCGGTTCCTCTTCCCTCCGCGGGGCCCCGGCTGCGTGAGCCGCGGCCTCCTGACCCGGAACTGCTGCGGCCCCGCGGGCGCGGGCTGTCGCGCTCGGCTCCGTCCGGCGTCGCCCCTCCGAACGCGCCCTGCGGCGTACGGGCGCGAGCCGGGGGCCATTGCCGGGGCCGATGCCGGGGCGGGGGCCCGGCGGCCCCGGAGAAGCGGCAGAGGTGGCTGAGGCGGGGCGCGCGTCGCCCCCGCCGCCCACAGAGCCGCGGGGACCGGGCTTTGGACTCCGGGTGGCACGCGCGCGGCGCCCCGGTTTCGCTCGGGCCCCGAGCGGCCGCCGACGGGCTGTGCCGCCGAAGGTGCCGGGGGAGGAGGAGGACGGCGAAGCTGCTGCGGGGCGCGGCCGTCGGGCGGACGGGCGCACAGGGGCGAGGAGGCGAGCACGGGACGGAGCACGGGACCCGGCGGTGACATAGGCGCTTGGTGGAATTTCACAGAGCAGAGGGAAGGGGGGCGGTCACCCCCTCGCTTCCCTTAATGTTTTTCAAAACCGGCGAAGTGAATTTCAGCGGGAGCCTCGCACGGTAGGGAGGGGAGGTTAGGAGAGGCGGCGGGAGAAAACCGTCCGGGGCAAAGGGGTCACCAAAGCGGGTCCCCAGTGAGAGACCTGGGATGCGAGGGCAGGGGCTGAAGGTGAAAAATGTGCGTGGGGGGGGGGTGCTTTGGAGGTAGGGCGGGGAATGAGCCAGAAAGCAGGTAGAGAGCACGCCTGATGCAAATCGCGGCCGCCTTTGTGCTCATTGCCATCCCTGGAGTGCTAAGTCCTAACGGGAGTTGATCGGTCATCTCGGCTTTTATCTCCTTAAAAATGTGATTTTTAGGTGCAGCTCGGTTTAACCTATTGAATGTAAGACCTCGGTATTTCAAATAAAGGGATGTGACCTAACATGCCAGTCATGTCAGGATTAATGATATTATCACATAAGTTGACACCCTGTCATTAATAAACGAGACTTTGTCCAAGTCAGCAAGTAACTCCCTATTTAAAATTTCCTATGTGAAAAACAGAACAAAAACAGGAACTGTTGTTTTGCTGGAAAGATGGACAGATACTTTCAGAAAATGAATTAAAAGTTGGCTTTGCTTTAATTTGTCGTGGTACTCTTCTGACAAATACTGGGCCAGCTTTTCCGGGAGGGGCCTACATTTACTATTGTGGTTACATCTTTTGATTAAAGGAATTTTTTTTTCCAGCCACAAATTTCTGTTGTAACTATAAGAAGATTGATACAATTTTGCATTCTTACTTATGCCAGTTTTTCTTTACAGGTGATTTTGTTTTTGGCACAAGAGTCTTCTTTGAAGAACTTTGTACAGGTATTGAAAGATGGCAGAGGCAGTGTTGATTGATCTCTCTGGTTTGAAATTGAACTCTCAGAAGAACTATCATCAGCCATTACTGAAGACATTGAGTGCTATTCGATACCACCACGCTGCCAAGGCTAAGTTCCTTTGCATAATGTGTTGCAGTAACATCAGCTGTGAAAAGGATGGTGCCCATGATACTTGTGAATTAGAAACAAGCAATGGATTATCAACTCTCTTGAGAGAATTTGAGACTGTTAGCAATCCCAGCATGGCTGCCTGTTTGTATACCATTAAACAAAAAATTGATGAAAAAAATCTGAGCAGCGTTAAGGTCTTTGTACCCGTGCACCGGAAGACATTAATGAAGGCTTTTATTGATCAACTCTTTACTGATGTTTACAATTTTGAGTTTGAAGATTTACAGGTGACTTTGAGGGGAGATCTTTTGAAACAGTCCACTGAAATAAACATGATCACAGCTCAAGAACTAGAAGCAATCCAGAATGAAATAGAAACATATTTGAGAAGTCTGCCGGCTCTGAAAGGAGAATTAGCCATTATCACATCTCCTTTGATCTCAGGTATGCTAAACACTATCTGTTGTTTTTACTGTGTATATGAAAAACCAGTCTTTCTTTGGAGGTTGTTCCTTTCTTTTTTTCCTTCTTTTGTAGACTGTTGTGGGCTTATGTGCTCGTTAGCATCAGTTGCAACAAGGGAGTGTCATGGAGGGCCTTGTACTGTCAGGGATGTCAAGGGATTGCCCCTTCAAAGCCATCCCACACAAATAAGTGTCCTTTATGCAAATTAAGCTTTAAGACAAATCCCACAGCCGTCCTTTAAAATGAGACTGGGAACTCTAAGAATCTTCTGTTTAGAAATTCTGCAACCTTGATTCCTTGGCACCATCACGAAAGAGTGAAATTTAAGACAGTCAATCTTACTTCTTGGTTAAAGGATATTTACTGTGAGCTCTATGCTGTTTGGTATAACAAAGACAAGTGGACAGAAGGTACTCTTTGAGAGCAATAATCCCCTAGGGAAGGTAAACAAACACAAAGCGGTATGTAATAACACATAGAGGTACAAAGTGCTGTAGAAATTAGATGCTAGATAAACAAGTGCAGGTCGAGATGATCGGGGAAAGTCTTGTGAGAGACTGGGTTTGTGGGTCTTTATAGTCTTTTGTACAGTATGTTTTTAATCTTCACTACTTATCTCTTTCACAGACATTTTCATACATGGATTTACTACAAGAACAGGTGGGATATCTTACATACCAACTCTTAGCTCATTCAATCTCTTCAGTAGTTCCAAACGGAGAGATCCCAAGGCCGTTGTTCGAGAAAATCTGCGGAGGTTGGGGAGTGCTGCAGGATTTAATGCAGAGAAATTTTGCCAAATAAAGGTAAAATTTTGTTTCATTTTTTTGGAAGATCTATATTCTCAACTCTGCTAATGGCTACGTGGACTTTAATCAGGTTATTTAACTTTTGCATCTGGTGTTTTATGTAAAATTTTAGGATAATGCTTTGGTTGTTTTTCTTAGCTGTATACACCACAGTGTAAAGATCAGTTCTATGACATATATATTTCACCTGGAGCTCCTCACATCTAAGAGTACGGTTAATTCTCAGAGTATAGTACCACTGCCCCTTTTGATTTAGAAGGAAGGATCCTGAATGGTGGGAAAGAAAGGCCATTATTTTCTAAATGAAGGAGGAACTAGGGTCACAATTGATGAGATAATGCTTTGTTTCTTACAGAATTCTAGCTTTACTTGAGTCTAGAAAAGTAAAAATTCATTGACTTGGTAATTCATTTAACTTCTTTCAGTAAAGTAGTACTTTGTGGAAAGTGCTCCAAGTAGAGATTTGCCCATCTCTAGTGGGAGGTGTCCCTGATGGACGAACTATGTTGAATTTTAAATGTAAAGTCTGCTTCCCTTTGAATAAAAATATGCAGATAATACAATTCCAAAAGTTAAATAAGTAAATTTATTTTACCATGTATAGAAGTGATATATTTAATGAATGCTAGTAATCTTAAACTGTTTCTCTAATTTTGTACAAAATGAGTACTTTGAGAAAAGCTTATGGTATGAGAAATTCTACTTTCAAAACATTTTTTATCACACATTTTTGGTATTAGACGGATCATGCCAATGACATCTGGATTATGGGAAGGAAGGAGCCTGAATCTTATGATGGAATCACCACAAATCAGAGAGGAGTCACAATAGCGGCTCTTGGCGCTGACTGTATACCGATAGTTTTTGCAGACCCCATCAAAAAAGCGTGTGGGGTTGCTCACTCTGGTAAGAGGACTTAATTAAACGTTTAGGATTTTACCAATTTTGTAGTAGAGGAAAAGTTATATTTCTTTCTGGTGGGCGTAACAGGCAAGCAGTTAATTACTTGCTTCACATGGTGATAAGTGTAAAAATAGGAGTAGAGCTAATGTAGTCTTATTATAGGAGCAGATAAAAGGAGTACCTAAGTGAACTTATATGAATCAGAGTAGAATTCTCAAAGGAAGTGGTACCTAGGCTGATTCCTGAGGAATTTGTAGGATTTGGCTAAGCGCCAGTGTTTCTCAGCAGGGCTGGTATTAACATTTTTGGCGAGATAATCTTACATTGTAGACTAAATTTGCTTGGCTTTCGAAATTTTTAATGCCAGTAGCACCCCAAGTTGTTGTAATAACCAAAAAAAAAAAAAAAAGCTTCGTGCTTTTGGAAACACTTCCCAGCAGGGCTGGCCCAGTGGCAGCATAGTGGTTAGGTTTGCACATTCCACTTCTGCAGTCCTAGGGTTCATGGGTTGGAATCCGAGGCACAGACCTAAATACTGCTCATCAAACCATGCTGTGGCAGCATCCTGCATACAAAATGGAGAAAGACT